TTTCTTCCTCTGCTTTTTGTGTTTTGGAGGGAAAAGAGAAAATCGAAAGGGAAGCTTGTAAGGAAAGCTGGGGTTTGTGGACGAGACTATGAATCTTTGGTGTAGTCTTTCATGAAACAGTGCGCGTGGAGCAATAACATCTTGCCACGTGGTCAAATCATTTTTGATAGATAGATTGTGATTATATATTTTATTTCATTTTATTTTATTTTCCTTATATAATTACGTATTGAATTTGTCAACTACAAAAACTTCTTTTTTAACATACACGGAAGTATTTTTTCTTTCGTTATTAAATCTTGATCAAATTTTTATTATAAAAAATTAAATATGAAATTTATCTTTAAAATTACTTAAATATATAAGTAGCAATTATAAATATTAAAAATTACGTAAAAGCTAAATAATATATTAAATACTCAAATTATATAATATGCATTAATAATTAAATTTTAATAGTTGATAGATGTCAGTTTTAGAAATTAATATTAAAGTTACTTACTAGTATCATGCCCTGGTTGGTTCAAATTAAGAATTCGTTTTTATTTTATGTAAGTTAAATAATTTATTTAAAGCATCAACCCATGTTTTTGTTTACTATTTAAATTATTAGATAATTGAAGTTTTTATTTAATTTTTTTAAAAAAAATTTGGAAACTAATTTGTCTAATTAGAATAAGATTTTACTTTAATTCGTTTTATTTTTTTTTAAATAATTATAATTAAAAACGGTGTTAGTTAAATAACTATATGAAATAAAATAACTGGCCTATAATTCAGAAAATTATGTGTCATCTTTAAGTAGTTATCCATTTGTTGAAAATACACAATTATTTCAGAAAATTATAACAATATTTTAAGTGGTCAACAATGTTGATAATTTTTAAAATAAATTAAATACATACATAATATTGAGAAAAGATGGCTTAAAGTCAAATAATAGTTGACTTTTGCATAGAGACAAAATATATCAAAATAATTTACATAAATATTTGAGTTATAATTTAATGCTCTTAAGACAATTTGTTGGAAATTTTGTTGCAATTAACAAGAATGACGTTAAAATAAATAATTTTTATTACGATATACAAATCTTTTATTTTGTTTTACACATATCTAAATCAATAAATAATATAATTAGCATAAATTATATGCTATTGGTATTTTCATGCCATATTCAAGTTGGAAACGAAGGCTATTTTTTAATTAAAGTTATCTTAATTAAAATAATAATAATAAAAATGTTAAAGAAATAATATCTATATTAGGTATACATGTACAACATAGCCGCGCTGTAGATACCCAACCAACGGCATGTCCATGTAAACCCACTAACCTCAGATAATTTAGACATACGTGAGAAGTAATCATGCACTGCGCATGTTGAAATACCAAAAATGACCTTCAAAAAATGACTAACAACGCCCCATAAAGAAGGGTATTTTAGGAAAACAAGAAATCATATAGTGGGAAATTTATGGGTAAATAGCTGGAAGATATAATAAAGCCAGCTAGCTGGTCCTAGTGGAGAGACCAAAGTCCCTTTCGTGGGGTGCACGAATCAAAAGATGCCCCAACTTCCAAACAATCATCCGCATTAAATATAATACTTAATGTTGCGATAACTGAAAACACTCGTTTAATTTTTGTTAATTAAATATTCGATTATGGGAAATCATTTTATCCTAATTAATGTTGTTACCATTTTTTATTAAAAAGTTTATTTTGTGGCCCCATTATTTCAATTAATTTTTAAGTACAAATGAGGTAACAGGGGATAAGATTTTATAGGGGTTTACTTAAATTTTCTGTTTAAGAACTGTTTGATGTTATTTTGCAGTAAAATTATAAATTATAAGTTGTACCCCATTGAATTGTTTGTCATGTTTTCGCCTTTCCATTCAATAAATTTGTGTTATTTGACGAATAATTTATTTAACAATTCTTTTATTTAATATAATATTATTATATAAATATAAAAAAAAAAAAGTTGAATATAATACAAAACAGTATGTAAATTAACAAAATAACACAATAAAAATATAATAGTACATAGAAATATGAAATTGTATGAGAATAATAACAATGAAGCACAGTCACAATATATATTTCTAAAGTCAATTAAATTTGTAAATTAATAAATCTTACTTAGTTGCTAACTTTTTTTTTTTGTGTTGGCTTGGTAGGGTGATAAAGAGTTATAGAGTTGTATATATTTCTAATATCTATTTTAATTAATAAAACTAATTCGTTTTTAAGATAACAATGACATGGATGGCTACAACATAATATTTCTCTTTATTAATTATTCAAAGTGTGTTAACAAAAACAGTAATATATTTAATAAATTAGTTGACTCGACACAATTTTATTTATATGGATAAATAATTTATCTTGCACTTAACCAAATAAACATATTAAATATCATAATATGATATATCTATATATAGCAAAAAGTTTGGTATTGACTTAAGTACAATACGAACATATTGACACAAGAAAATTTAATTAATATCGTTGAAATTTTTAACTAAATATGTTCATAATATTTAAGAATATTGAAATTTATATCAAACTACAAAAATAATATTAAATAAAATTGACTATTGCCCATATCCAAGCATAACTATTAGATAATTTCAATAAAATTTAAAGAATCGTAGTAATTATACACTTTTTCATTAATATGCTCGTATCTATCTTGTTGTATAAGCGGAGAACTTCTAAAATTAAAAGGGGTACGACTTCCATGATACCCCTGAATTTGCCATTAAATAAATGTAACATTCTATGTTGTACTATTACTAGTCACATATATTATCAATAATATTTAAAATAACTATTTCAAGCCGAACTTATTATGGAAGCAAATTAATGCGTCATTGAGCAAAAACTAATTATTTTAAAGGTTGATATTACGGATAGATTTGGAGTAAAGTTAAAATCTGCATAAAGTTTATTCTTAAGTCTATACTTACTTTAATAAAAATTAAAAAAATTATGCATAAATGATAAAAATTAAGTTTTTTAAAGAAATTTTACGTGGATGAATAATGCATCATAAATTTCATCAAAACTGACATACTTTAAAATTTTATTTTTCAATTCTATATTAAATTCGCTACTCAATTTCTATTATCGTTACAACATTATTTACATTTTATCTAAACTAAAGTAATGACCAATTTGTAAATAGATTTTATACTTTTTATATATATATTTAAAAAATATATAACATAAGTACGTATAAATATAAATATCACACGATATTAAAAGAATTTTAGTATGTAAATATATATATATATTTTACGACAGAATATCATGTAATACATACCTCAATTTCACACACATTATAATGGAAAAAAAATACAATGATATATTGACATGGCCATGATGAAATAACAAAGCATGGGAAACAGATAATGTCAATGCATGAAAATCTTATTCTACATTTATTGAATACAAATGTATATAACATTTATATTTCTTAAAATAAATAAAAGTAAATAATAAAAACAAAGCGGGAGAGAGAGGGGAGTTTAGTGGACATGTTGGTTCAGAATGCACGGTCGTGATGATCATTATCAGTTTTCTGTTTGGAGAAATCATGATGATCATCTTAATCAGCTATACAGTTTATAAATAAGAACACGGTGCATATATATGATCGCCGTATTATGTAGTAACTTGTGTATTTAATTAATTGGTGTTGTTATTTATATATATATATATAACCCGTGATATTCTCAATAACGAAGACAACGGATCATATATATTTGGGCACGCATGTATACGATAAAGCTTCTGTTGTAATTAGTAACCATGTAAATCACAGTTGTCGTATACATATATACATACATACATACACATGCACCCATAATAACCTACATATACATCTATATATATATATATCCGAATATATAAAAAATTATGCAGAGACAATAAGATCATGCGCAATATAAGTTGCAATGCAGTTGTCACTAACAATACTTATATTAACAACCAAAAATAATAATTTTTAATTAAAATAAATGACCGCATAAATAAACCAAATTTCTTTTAATTTTTTTCCCTTGTTTTGACTTTCATTTATTTTTGTTTATAATTTAAAAATAAAACACCAACTTGTACAAAGATTACGCTTCCAAATTTATCGTCAGTGGAAGCAAAGTGATCATATTGGGGGGATCAGAGCCGTTGATATGTTGACCATGTGCGAAAGTTGATCATGGCGGAACAGGGAAAATGACGACAAACCAACGGTTGATACGAAGGAAGCAAGTGGTGTGGGACCCAGATAATAGGTGGGCTCAAATTCCATGCACGCATGCGGACACCAATAGGCGTGAACCTGAGGAATGGGGTTTTAATTTTTATTTTTCCCCGAATAAGTATAACAGGAATGATCGAGAGGACAAGCAAAATCCTTTGCCATTTATCAGACCAAAATAGAAATCCATTTTTATTTTATTTTTGTTATTACATCGTGGAAAGAGGAATATTATTCATTTCCATATTATTTCCGGAGTCGAAAATTCATTATTTTCATAATTAAAATTCGATAAAAATAATAAAATAATTAAAAATGAAAATGAACCTCCTCCATTCTCAGCTGCTCTATAAATTTCTCACACACCCAGCTCCTCAAAACCTTCTCTCTTCTATCTCTAGAACGTGCGTCTCTCTCTCTCTCTCTCTCTCTCGAACGTATGCATAAGCATATGCGTATATCTGTTGCAATTTGTTTGGTAACTGAATTTGCATTAGGTGAATCAAATTAAACACACAATTGAGCGGACGGAGAAAAATTGTGGGGGGCATATAGAGGAAGAGGAGGAGGAGGAGGAGGATGATGATGATGACGAGCATGCCCTCTTTTCTTATTGTGCCTCCCCTCAGATCTTAGTTTCTTTGCAAGATTTGGCATCTCGGTTTTCTCTGATTGGTGGGTGTTGTCTGAATCTGGATTTGCTTTTCTTGATCTTTAGCTAACTTCTTAATTTGGGGACCTCGATTGGGTTTTTCTGATCGGAATTTGCTTCTGGGTTTCTTTTCTCTTAATCTTTTCACCAGGTGTGCTGTATTCCGGGTTGGTTCTTTGATCTAGGAAGGATCTGTTGTTTCTAAATTGAAATCCGACAATACATAGATTGTAGCTGAATATAAATTGTGTTTCTCGTCCTTGTTGCAACAATAAAGGTATTGCTTTTATTGTTATACTGGGCCTTTTTCAATCTGCATTTTATCTTTGCTTTAGCAGATTGGATGGTCTCGACTGTTAATCTTTATTTGTTATCTACATTTTGATTCAATGGTATAGATTCCTCTTGGTTTTGGTTGGTAAAATTGAGTCATATATTGGATCAACTTTAGAGTATGGGCTTGTGGCTCTTGGAAAAAAAAGTTGGATGCTTTCTTTTGTTTGCACTTTGCAATGAATTGACTGTAATTGTGCATTGTTAATTTGGTATTGATGAAGTAGCTTTTGACATGTAGAGAAAATGCAATCTGATAATGGTAAGCTATTTATCGGTGGAATATCTTGGGACACCAATGAGGAGCGTCTCAAGGAATATTTCAGCACCTATGGGGAGGTGGTGGAAGCAGTGATTATGAAAGACCGGACTACAGGCCGTGCTCGTGGCTTTGGCTTTGTAGTATTCGCTGACCCAGCTGTTGCTGAGAGAGTCATAAAGGAGAAGCACAATATTGATGGCAGGATGGTAAGTTGTTAAATCTGATAGCATAGCTGAGACTGCTTGATGCATCTTGTTATCAAATTCTTCACCGTGTAGTTAATCAATCAAAATGGAGGCGAATTCTTCATTGGAATTATGAATATTGTAATTCTGGGAGTTCATAATTGTATGGTTCTAATTTTAACTGACTTTCAGATTTAGACAAGAGTACATAATGCATTATCTTCACGTATCTTGTTGGTTTTGTTTGTAACTTACTACAAATATTTTTCTCGCTTTTGAAGTTGAATGGAATGAAACATATCTTATGCTTTGGGATTGATTTTTTATTATTGAACTCTTTACCGTCAGGTTGAGGCAAAAAAGGCTGTCCCCAGGGATGATCAGAACATTCTGAATAGAAGCAATAGTAGTGTTCATGGTTCTCCTGGCCCAGGCCGTACAAGAAAGATTTTTGTAGGAGGTTTAGCATCTACAGTCACTGAAAGTGATTTTAAGAAGTATTTTGATCAGTTTGGGACAATCACAGATGTTGTTGTGATGTATGATCACAACACCCAGAGGCCTAGAGGTTTTGGATTCATCACTTATGATTCAGAGGAAGCGGTGGACAAAGTGTTGCTTAAGACTTTTCATGAACTGAATGGTAAAATGGTCGAGGTTAAGCGAGCAGTTCCCAAGGAGTTGTCACCAGGTCCCAGCCGCAGCCCACTTGGTGGATACAACTATAGTCTGACTAGGGCCAATAGCTTCTTGAATGGGTACACTCAGGGGTATACTCCAAGTACAGTTGGAGGCTACGGACTTAGAATGGATGGTAGATTTAGCCCTGTTGCTGGTGGTCGAAGTGGGTTCCCTCCGTTTGGTTCTGGTTATGGCATGGGGGTTAATTTTGAACCAGGATTGAGTGCAAATTTTGGGGGTACTGCAAATTTTAGCAGTAATGTCAGTTATGGACGGGGACTGAGCCCTTACTACATTGGTAACACAAATAGGTTTAGTAGTCCCATTGGGTATGATGGAGGTAATGGAGGAAATACTTCTTTCTTCAGCTCTGTCACTCGAAACTTGTGGGGAAATGGGGGGCTGAATTATAATACAAACACTACAAGTTCCAATGCATATATTGGATCCGGAAGTGGAAACACAGGAGGGAACACCTTTGGTGGTAATGCTGTCAATTGGGGTTCTTCAACAATTTCTGGCCAAGGCGGAGGAAATAGTGTTTCTAACAATAGTGTGAATTTTGGATATGGAGGTGGTGATAACACTTTCGGGTTGGGTACAGGAGGATATGGACGAAACAGTGGGACTAATGTGGCTCCATCATCATCATATTCTGCAACAAATGGTGGTTATGATGCAGCTCTTTCAGACTTCTATAGTGGTGCTTCAGTTTATGGGGACAACACTTGGCGATCATCAACATCTGAACGAGACGGATCTGGTTCTTTTGGTTATGGGCTTGGAAATGCCACTTCTGATGTTTCAACCAAAAGTTCGCCGGGTTATGTTGGTGGTTATAGTGTTAATAAGAGACAATCAAACAGAGGTAAGATTTCTTCTTTAAATGTTTATCTTCTCATACTGTTGTTAATGCTCTATGCTAAGTGCCATAGCGAGGGATAAAATCCTAAGCATTTTAAACTCGTCTAGATCACAAGTTAGGAAGAAGCTTGCTCTAGCTTTTGCATTTCTTCTGAGCTTGCTTTGAGTCTATGTTTGGAACAATTCCTGAAAAGTTGTGGAAAAATTGCTATTAGTTCAATAATGAGAGGTGTAAATTTTATTAGGATTATAAAAAAAGTGGCCTCATATAGAGTTTTATATGTAATTGGAATAATACATTCCAAATTCTGTTAAATTTGTTAGAATCTAGAATGCATTCATTTCAATTTTGCATAAAACTTTTTATGGGGTCACTTTTTATTTTCTTTTAGTAAGGATTTTCTTAATTTTCTAGTTAAATAAAATGTTAATTTGAAAATTAATTGCTGTAAAATATTTGAATTTGTTCCAAATGTAGCTTTAGTTTCGTTTCAAGGAGCCTTAGATAACTCTCTAATTTGTTTCTCTTTTAAATAAATCTGAGAAAACATAATTCTGTAACTTTTACATTTTCTAAAAATTTATTCTTGCTAAGATTGAAGAAATATTCTATCAATTGTGATTCTGTAACTGAAGACAACTAGTATAAATGCTTTATATATCATATGTGCACCGTACTTTCTTGCCATAGTTAGGTGACAGGAAACTGACTTGTGTAGTATAAAATGTCTTTATGTGAAGTATTATGTCAGTAGCTATTGTGCTAAGGTTATAGTTGTGGAAATAAAAGGGAACAAAAATAGTTTATATAAAAGTTTTGCCTTTTCTTTTTACATTACTTTCTCTTCATTGCTATGTGCATTTAGTGCTGCTAACTGGAATCACGTTAAGTATCATCGCTGCTGCATCTTTTCTTCCTTACAATTTTGACACGGTTAGATCATATTGCTTTGACATCTTCTTTTTGATAGCTGTTGTGTGAAGAAGATAATTCTGGAAATAGAGTAGAATATTGATTGTTGAATTATAGTAAGTTCTGCTTTGTTTGTTTGTTTATTTGTTTTTTTTAAAAAAAATTAAATTTAGTTTTCTATGCTTGTACCCTCGCTCTGATCTCCATTTAGTGCTGCTCCCTGAAATCACATTTCAAATCATGGCTAGTCCATGATGTTTTCTTTTTGAGTTTGACGTGGTTGAATGATTTCGTTTTTGATAGCATTTACGTGGTTGATTTAAGTGAAATCCTCTCACAACCAGCATTTCTTCTTTCAATGGTGACTTCTGACAACTTTAATCTGATTCGTTTTTATTCTGCTAATTTTATTCTGTTTTGCTTCTTGGATGGATGACTTACATCTTGCACTAAACGTTTCCATTCTAGATTTTATTCTTTATTTGTTTTTTGGTGTTTAGCTTTATGAATTAAACTAAGAATTAGAAACAGTAATTTGTTACTTAAAGTTTTACTGGAAAAAAAACTGGAGATCTATGATAACATGAGAGGTAGATATAGATCGTGGGTAGTTAATTGTGAAAAATCTATATAACTCAAGTTCTCTGATGAAAAATGACATATATTAATACTATGTGTGTGTATGCATGTTTTTTGTATGTACTCTAATTGATTTGCGCTTTTGGTGTAAAACAATTACATACAATAAAAATTTTTCTTTGAACACTTCTTCTGGATACAAGTTTTTATGAAACTCATTATACATTGAAGCAAAAGGAACCTATATCACTTTTTTTGGTAATGACGGCTAAATCACATTTTTTACATATGATGGGCTTATGGAGCAAAAACACATGCCAATGATTGTTACTTCTTTTTCTGTACGCAACATTACTCTAGTTGCTAGCTTTGGAGCAGCCTTTCTATGCTAAAAATGCTGGAATATAGGACTTTATCTTCGCTCCCAGGGCTCCGGGTCATGAATTACTGTTTCTTAGTTTCCTTTTAGTGTTACTTACATTAGAACTAGTAGGGTCTTCTCTCATCATCTTTTCCCTTAAATCATTAACGCTTAGAGAATTTGGATAGAGGCCTAATTTGTAGGGCATGCTTGCAAATTTCTCTGTATAACCAGTTTGGAAACAAAGGAAACCAAGGGTGTCAGTACTTTTTTTTGTTTCATGTCCTGAAAAGGGCCCTTGGTGATTTCTGAGATCATAGGCATGCAGACATGGCTGTATCAGTATTCACTATAGCAGTGGCTTCCTGCTTTTTAAACAACCTGATTAGTGAAGCATTTGCGAGTTGTAATAGAAAGTATTTTAGACCACATTTGGTAAATTAAGCTGTTTCTTAGAAACTCATTTAGGCATATTAGTCCTAATCTCATGGAGTTCCCATCTTTGATCTCTGTTTGATTGAATTCAAAAGCCCTTATGGCCTTGTTTGGGGTACGAAGCATGTTGGATAGATAATCTGTGGGAATCTCTTTGCTTCTCCATTAGTTTTCTTTAGGTTGATTGAAGCTTGATGACAGTCTAAGGGTAAATGTTACTTTCTGGTATTTATACAGAAATCCAGGCCCGCTGATTTAAACTCTTAAGAATTCTTTGAATTAATGCTGTGAGGTTTTCTCGGTATGTTCTTGTTTGCCCCTTTTATCTTATGCGGGTGTGTGAAACTTGGGTACTAAGGGAAGGTATTATTGTCAAGTGCGCTCTCATTTGTCTTTTTAATTTAGAAATACCAGTTTTTGTGAAAACCAGAAAGATGAGAGATTGCTGGAGGGAGGAGGGGGACCATACACTTGGGCGTGGTGAAAAGTTTGGAGCATGTCTACATGATATGGACCTGACATTTCTATCTAACATGGAGTGTAGAGGATAGAGTGCTTCCTATGCTCATGAGTTAACATAGGCAAAACGAACACTGAGTTATACAATTGTTGCTTAATATTAGGATACCTCTCTCCAAAAGGAAAAACTCACTCATTATGAGGCCTTGTCATCTTCTTTGTTTTATAGTCTAAAAATTCATGAGGAGCATGGCGCAAAGAATATGCCTTAGTCTCTCTGGCTTTTGCCAAACATATGCTGCTGGTATAAACTCAATGGATTTGTCCATCTAACAAATGCTCAACCTCCATTTTTCCCTCTTTCCGAGTCTGTTGCTTACTCTCTTGATATCCTATGTTGTGCATGTGCTCCAAAACCATGTTAGTGTAGAAAATTGAGCCTTACGAAGTCATTGACAAACTAAGACTTTATTTATAATTAAGCTGTTTCTGGATCAGCTGTTAAAGCTTGTTTCACGCGTACCTTTGATTTATTGCATGGAACTCATTTTCTTTGGTTAGCAATCCACTAAGGCTTAAATTGGAACAAATCCAAAACTTTGTGGAATTCTTTGTAAATTCATACTTTGTTTAACTAGGAGAGAATGCAAATTCTATCAGAAGATGATATAAGAATGATTTCATATGAAATTTATGTGGAATTGTAACAATGCATTCTAGATTTCTGAATTTTTTATGGACAAAGAATGCATTATTCTGTCTTTTTGCATGAAATCTCGTAGGTTTCTTTTTTAGTAGGGGGTATTTTCAGACTTTTCTCCCTGAACTAAGTGTGGTTTTACAAATAAATTGCGCAAAAAATTTGTATTTATTCCAAATGTTTCCTAAATGATGATGCAGTCATTCATTGACGCAACAAATTCAGTCCTATGGTACATGCTCCATATATCTGCAATTTAATGTCAGAGAAAAAATAAAACCAGCCAATAGTTGGGTATGATATATACTATGTCAAGTCGTTAACTGGACATTTGGAGTCTCTTGAATAGTAAAGCCAACCATCATAATTCTGCAGTCTTGAGGTTGCATTACCTCCTATAAGTATAATTGGGGGCACCAAGAATGGCACATTGCTTGCTAGATAAAAAAAGTTGTTATATCTTTGTCTGTTGTGTCTTTCACAAAGAGATGATTCTAGATTCTTTGTCATGGAGGTGTCTCTGTTGCATCAGGTCCCATTGATTTTCCGTGCAATGCTATGTGGTTGTGTGACTAATGTCTAACTTGTGTCCGGTGAGAACTTATCTGAATGCCTTGTATAAAATCTTGTAGAATATTCGGTCAATGTTATTTGAATCCTTTCAAGCTTGTTGAGTATGGGCTATTGGTTTTAAGTGTCAATTTTTTGGATGTAAATAAAAAATGTTTTCAGGTAAACAGACAGAGACATAGTTTTGTCAGACAATTTCCTTCCAATTTGAAAAGTAAAACTATCCAAAAAGTGTTTTGTGGTTTTCTAAGAAAAAGGAAATTGAAAAGATTTTCTGGAACTAGGTAATCCCTAATTGTATTTGTTCTTGGTCTCCATGTTCATATTTCTTCTTAACTTTGTGCCGTTGTTGTCATCTATTTATTCTTTCAGCTATAACAGTTCAGTTTCAACTGACTGTCTAAATGTGTTCATTGTGGTTGTTTTTATGCAAGTGGCAGTATGGACCTATCACATGAATTTCGGGAAACAAATTTTTTTCAATTATTTGGTTTGCTTGAATTCTTTATCATTTTAGTACTATACCGAAGTTTATTTGACTAGTGCTTGATGATTTGCCAAATGGTTTATATATGTGTATGTGTGTGTGTATATATGTATATATATATTTTGGCACAAGTATTCTTGTTATGAGTGTAACACAATGTAATTGTTTTTTGCAAGTAACTGAGAGAAGAACCAGTTCCTCTTCTGTTAGAGATAAATTGATGTCAGTTATGGTTTTTGATGGAAGGTCGATTTTTCACATGTTTCAGGTATTGCTGCTTAGGAGAGTCATTTTGGTTATCAAGACGTAGTAGGTGAAGATAATCTTGTGAAGGAGGTGAACTGTGAAATTCGTACAACCCCACTCCTTAATATATTTCAGTTAAGAGGAAGTTGGTTATCTAGAGCTAACTGAAGTGCCTGTTTTGAAGAATTAAGTTCAGAGATAGGGATTAAAAGGGATTTTGTGTTAAGGCTTGAGTTTTGAGTTATTTTGTTAGGCTTTTTGTTTTTGTTATGAGTGAGATGTAAAATCAGATTGCGGGATATACTCAAAAAATGTATCATGCATCTCTGGTGAGCCGGCGATACATAAGGATATAGACTGTTACCTCTTCCCCTCTCCATAGATTTTTAAGTTCTGTAATGGCTCTGGCAAAGTTGTGGGTTCTTGTCAGGTATGCTATGTCTTTTCTTCTTCCCATGATTTGGGTTTGTTTTTAAGCAGATTGTACCTGAGGTTTTTGTTGATTTACTAGTGTGAAACCATAAAGGGACACCCATCTAGGGTCCCTCTGAATAAGTTACCACATATGCTGATTCTTTTTCTATTGGAATATTTTATGCAACAAATTGAAAACTTTATTTGTTTGTAAAACATACAGTTTTAGTGAATATTTTATCCATTGACTTTTGGCTTGAGTTTTGATGGACTGAGACTAAGTATTGTAAGAGGTGCCATTTTGATCTGTTTGTTGCAGTAATTAGTGCAATCAGATTTTGTAAACCAGTAACCACCCAATTTACTTGATAAACACATCTTTTATTATTCTTCATTTGCATGCACATACTTGCAAGTGCTAATTATTCGTCTTTTCAACCAGTTCATGCTAATTTCTAAGTTATCATGTGACTCTTTAACATCGGATGCACATAAAAAATAGCATACAGGTTTTTTTAAGTTCACTTTCATTTAGACTGTCCTTTTGGGGTTGCGGTCCAGTATCTCTTTACTATCAGTGGAATATATATTGGAATAAGCTTTTGTCATGGCTGTTGAATTTTTTGTTGTTGATCGCATCAGGTATATATTCCTTATTTTCTTTGTCTACCATCTTGACTCCCAAACCAGGGTAGCATGATTCCACTACTGGTCTGATAACACTATTTTGAACATAGGGATGCATGACATGATAGCCTAAGGAGTTAAAAGTTGAAAAAGGTATGGGAACCATTCCCTTTCTTTCTCATCTTTTCAGTCTCCATAGAGTGATTTGGTGATCAATTCGCTTACAACTTTTACAGCCTGTAAATCTAGGAAGATACCTTCCCCCACCCAGTTCATAGATTACCAGCCTTCATCTCTTTCTGTGCGAATGGGAGAGAGCGTTAAACAGGAACAATGTTTATATTGCTAAGGAGCCGAAATGATGTTATGTCCCACAACTTAATCCAGATATCAAGAAACTTGTATAATTTTTTGGGGATTTCCTTCTTTTGAGCATTGTAGGGCCAAATATTTGAGGGCAAAGGTTTTTAGACAAGAGAGTTATTGAGTTAAAATTGGTGTGGATGGAGAGAGATGAATCAAGAAAGACAAAAGTGAAAAGGGTTTGAAGAAATGCAAATGGATATGTAGTGTAAATGACCCACAAGGAGGGGATTTCATGCTGCACATATTCAAGCATATTCATTCGTTATGTCATATTTCATTGCTGATGTTATCAATACGTTTTTAGTCTTTGAAAATCATTTCTACCTCCCAGTCTCAGGCTTTACGAGTAAAATCAGGCTAAAGCTAGAAAAGTTCTTGTACAAACAAAACATTAATTATCAACTGTTATTATTATTATTATTATTTTTTTGTCTAAGAAGAGAAAAAGAAGAAACAACTAGTGGCTAATAAAACATATTTGACCAATATCACAATTGTTTATGAATCATTAATGACAGAGGGTATCGGTTTCCTACTCATTTCTAGTCCATCCCATTGACCTAAGAAACAAGATGGTGTGCACACATATGTACTTCTTTATAGATATGAGGAGATTTGGACATCCCAATTACAAGAGTATAATTCTCTGATTTTAACGATTAAAGTCTGTAATTGAACGAGAATTGAGTTTTCTTTGCTGAAGTAGGTTGTAAACAAACAACAAATCTATTTCTATGATTAAATTTTTTGTTGAGTTTTTTTCTTTTTTTTTTTTTTTAAGAGTTTCTTTTTGTACCGTTTTATGATGAATTTAACTTAATTTTTTTTGGGTAAAAAATAACTCAATTTACAAAATAAACATATGGTTAATGGAGGTTGCTAAAAGTGTATTTTGCATCATTCGACACTTAAATAAATAATAATGTTGGTATTCACATATCAATAACACAATAATATTTCATTGTGACATTCGATTATTGGAGAATTTGATATTATAAGAGTGATTTTTGCTAATATAAGTCATATTGTATGAACGTTCTAAACACTTCGAGAGGTAATTTACTTCAATTAATTTTTGACCCCATTTGTTCCACGGGATGTGGAATCAATATTGACATTAAAATATTTCACTAATTATCTCTTTAATTAGTGGTCGAGATATTTTTTATAATTGAGATATTTTTTAAAATATAATTAAAATAAAGTTTTGACGTTTTATTTACTTTTTATCTAATAAGTTTCTAACGATTCGCATTTAGATTAATTTTTGTAATCAAATATATTTAACACATATTTAATTAAAATATTTGTGAATCTGTATAAAATATTAAATCATATAGAAACATTTTTTTCAAAGGAAAACATGTAGAGGCCCAGAATTTTAATGAAAAATAAATTCATAAATTAAATGTTAAAGTGATTAATAGAGTTAGAGTTTACATTCTTTACACAATAATTTTGAATATATAAT